TGCCTATAAACCTTCCTTCACCCTCCCAACACTACTTCTCCAGGCTTCTGTCTCTCACAGACCAACACCTCCAGTGCTCCCCTTTAGTCAGTGAAGACTTCTTCTGACCTGCCATTGTTCACCTCGCTCAAGTTGCAGCATCTCTGGTGTGCCTCCTGAGCTGCAGAGTTCCAGCTGCAGCTCSTTCCCTGGAGCCTCAGGGCTCAGTGCTGCTTCCCTCAGCTCCCCATCCTCACTGTCCCCATGCAGGCAGCACAGCTGACATCTCAGAGCAGTGCCAAACACCTCCATGCTCCCCAACACTCAGCTCTTCAGTGGCCAAGGGAGGTGGCATCCGACCTCTATCAGGAAAAATTTGACAAAAGGGTTGCCATGTACTGGAACAGCATGCTTAGGGCAGTGGTGGAGTCACCATCCTTGGAGGTATTCAGAAGACATGTAGCTGTGGTGCTTAGGGACACGGTTTAATGGTGGGATTGGCAGTGCTGGGTTGATGGCTGGATTGATGATCTTAGAGGTGTTTTCCACCATACATAATTTTATGATTCTATGATTGCATGATGCCAAGATGATGGAGCAGAGGGGCAGAGCCCGAAACCTGCAGGATGAGGCCACTCATGCAAGGCAGCAGACCCCATGCACTGCCTCCCTGGGGCAATGGTGATGAACAGAGGGGCTGCCACAGGGACAAGCAAATGCTTGTTAGTTTGCCTTGGCTAATTAACCACCAGGACTTGCCCACAGCAGGGCACAGGCTCCACCTATTTGTCAGCCCTGCCTCTCACATGTTAGGCTCTTCCTCCCAGCCCCACTGGGCTTCCAGTTCTCCCAGCGCATTTCCAGTGCCTGGTAAAGCTGTGATGGTGATCCCACAGAAGTTCTGCCGGTGGGCAGCTGGTGGGGGGGTACTGAGGGCCGTGTTGGTGGCTGTGGTGGGTGGTACCACCAGTACCATGTGCCCAATGCCCATCTCCCCCTCTCTCTCTCTCTCTCTCTCTCTCCTCCTGCCCCGAGCAGGTTTGGCATCACATGCTCCCAACACCTCTGTGCCCAGTCCTGGCACCCAGCCTGGCCTGGCAGCAGGTACTGCAGCCACATGCTTGCTCCAGGCCGGACAGCCACCCCAGTGCTGCCCGGTACCGGCCGCTCCAGCCTACAGCAGGGTGGGGACAGCAAAGCTCAGCAGCCCCGGGGCACACACCGCATCGAGAGCCTGAAAAGCACTGCTGCCACCCTCGGCAAACATCTGTGCCCACATCTGTGCCAGCACGGCCGTGCTGGTGGCCACGTCACCCTTACCTTCCATGTCAATGATGGCCAGCACAGCGCTGGTCATGGCCTCTCCCTGCTCGTTCTCGGCAATGCAGGTGTACACACCGGCATCCTCCTTCTTGCTGTCGCGAATCCAGAGGGTGCCATACTCCTCCCCACCCTGGGCCAGCTGCTCCTCATTTCGGTACCAGCGGAGGCTGGGCCGGGGATTGCCCGCCACCACCACTCGCAGCCGAATGTCACAGCCGGTGCCGATCGCTGCATTCTTCAGTTTCCTCACAAAACACGGTGCTGCCGGGCGAGCTGAGCCCTCCTCGGGCGGCCCCGGTTCTGCTGTGACCTTGGCACGCTTCGGGGGGATGCCAGGGCTCGGCGGGGCTGCCCGAGGCTCCCCACCAGCCCTACTCGTGCTGCTGCGTCCCTGTGCTCGGTGCATAGTCTGCGGCTCMCCCACCACCACCCGGGACCCCTGTCACCCCAAACCAGCACGCTGTGCCCTTCTTCTCCCCCTGTCTGCAGTTTGGGGGTGCTGGGTGCCCAGTTGGGGCGCTGGGGCGGTGGCGACCCCCCAGCCCAAATGCCGACCGGTTCGGTGCCTCCCCCCACAGGCTGCAGCCCCAAAGGTCGCGGCACTGTGGGCAAGTAAGGGGCTATATTTAGGCTGGGACTCGGGTTCCTGCTCGCCCAGCCGCCGCTCACCGAGCTCCCCGTGCAGTGTGGCACTCACAGCCCATGCTCTGCTGCAGCCCCAAGCCCGCCCAGCGCCTCGGCACCTGCTCGTCGCCGGCCTGGGTGCGAGTCCCGTGGGTGCTGCCCGCTCGCTGAGCCGTCCCAGTGCTGGGGCCGTGGCGTCCCCCCCCTCACCCGTCCCGTCCCGTCCCGTCCCGCGCAGCCCCCGGCRAGCTGCGCTCCCTCTGCCCCCTCTCCTCAAGTGGCAGCTGCCTCTGATATGTCACATTCCTTGGCTGGGCTCCCCCTCTCTGCGCCTGCTGCCCCGTCCCTGCAGCCCAGCTCCACTTGCAAAGATAGAAAAGGGCCAGCACCTTCCCATATTAGTTGAGAAGGTTCGGGGGGGACCCAGCCTTCCTCCCCCGCTTCCCCTTCTCCAGCAGTGTCATTGGATCAGGGCAGAGCGAGACYCTGACGGCATGTGGAGGGAAAGGACACCGTCATGCTTCCTGCAACACAAGACCCCGGGCAGGAGCCAGCCCTTCAGGGCCCCTTCGCYCCATTCCCAGCAGGCAGCCGAGGTGGGCATCCCAGCATCCCGGATCGCCCAGATCCTCCCTGTCCAGAAGGCTGCAAACACGTCAAGACTCCGTTTCTCTCGCTGAGCCCCTGCCTCGCTGCCCCGGGCACTGTGGGTCCGGGCCACTCTGCATGGGGGCAGTTTGGCTTTGGGGCACCCCATGAGAGCGACCACACGCCGGGCTGCAGGYGGCGAGCTCCAGGGACAGCGTGTGCCAGATGCTGCCCGGCCATCCTTGCTCAAGGCAGGGCTTCCCCATCTCCTGGAGAGATGGCACACGCCTCGGCGCCTGGCCCCGGCCGCCCTCGCCAGGGGCTGTAAATCTGTGTGAGCACGGCACGGTGCTTCCCAGCTGCAGGCCAGCTCCGATGGCTTTGGCACAACTCATTGCCACCAGCCTAAGGGCGCCAGCGTCAGTGGAGTGTCACCTGCAAGGAGAAGATGCCAGGATTTCCCAGCTTGGATGGCTGGGGCACAACGGAGTGGGGKGCCTCGCTAGACCCGCACCTGGCTGCAGAGTGGCTGGGCCAGCCCCAGAAGAGGCCTGGGGTGCTCTTCCCTGCCCTGCAGACAAAGAAATGCTCTGTCCCYTGCCTGGCCCCGGGGGCTGAGCTCTGGTACAACCAATCTGGGCSGGCAAGGGAGGGAGGTGTCATCCTAACCCAAGGCAACCTTAGGGACTGTCCTCGATGTCACAGGGCCACCTGGTGGAGATATCCCTTGAGATCCAGCACCTCCCAGCTGGCGTTTGCCACGCTGGCCTCTCCATCAGGGACACCCCCAGCCCACTCCCCACTGCTGCCTTGTCCCTAAAACATCACCCCCTGCCAAGCCCGCTGCCTTCCCTGGGATCTGCTGCCTGGCAGAGTTTTCTGGACTCCCCAACATTTCCCGGGGCAGAGCAACCCTGAATTGCTCTCCCACATGGGATGCTTAGCCCTGGGTTCCACTGCAGCATTCCCCATTGCTGGGAGGAAGGAGCTGAAGCCAAGATGCCCACAACATGACCACAGGGAGTGGGGCACGTATGTTGGGAGGACGAGGGCAGGTTGAGGCCAGAGGTTGAGCCTGAGGTGCAGGCAGAGGCTCGTGGGTCTRGTACTCACAGGGTGCAGGGGAGGAGGCGGCTTAGAGATGAGAGTGGCTTTGCATGCAGGTCGGTGACACTAGGAGAGGCTTGGAAAAGCCCCAGGCAGGTGTGGGTTTGGGCAGGGCTGTCCCAAGTGGGGGGGAAAGAGGAGGTGTCTGCTGTCTGSGCAACTGAGAGTCACTGGGACATGGCATGTGACCCTGGGGGTGTGTGGGAGATACAGGAACATCACCCTCCAAACCTGCTCAGGGTTTAGTTCTCACTGCCCCCTGTCCCAGCGGGACTTTCCCACCCAATGCAACTGGGAAATCCACCACCTCAGGCAGCAAAATGCTGGGGGACCTTCAGTGTGAGGGAACACACRCCTTTTGGGGGGCCCAGCAGCCTAGGGAGGAGACAGCCTAAGGAGTTTCTGGCTCCTCCATCCACCTTGCCCTTGTGATGCCTCCCCCAGGTGCTGCCCCCCCACCACCCCATCCCCGCTTTCCCTCAGAGATGCGCCGGGAGGACAGGGTGATGCTCCGCTGTTTATTTCAGCCGCCTGAAGAGTCTCATACACGTGGTGGGGTGGGGGTGCATTGGGGCGAGGAGTGGGGATGCCTGCCCTGGCCCCCCGGGCCTCTCTCCGGCTCCTCTCATCCTCTCCCCCTCTCTCCCATTCACTCACTCCTCCTCTCTCCTGTGTCCACCTGCGGGTACCCTCTCGGCTCATGAGCCTGGCCCCGTGCAGCTCCTGCTGCTGGGGGTCCTGCTGGGGGGGCGGGCACGGCCCTCCTCTGCCCCACGGGGCTGCCTCTCGGGCCGGGGGGAGCGAAGGGCCCGAGCCCCCCAGGGCTGGGGGGACACACAGGCCGGGGAGCCCCTTGCTCTGAGCCGGGCAGAGAACAGGGGGCTCAGCCCAGACCGTGCCTAGCTTGTCCCCATCCCCAGCATCGCCGCYGTGCCCCTGGAGAAGTGCCAGCTCCAGGGGCGGGCGGTGCTGGTGGAGGGACATGGGTCCCCACTCTTGTGGGATGAACCCCAAGCCTGTGCCCGGCGTGGGAAGGGGCTGCGGGGGGATCCAGAACCCGCTGCTGGGACCGTCCGGCTCTCCGTGGAGCTGGCCCAGGCCACCACCTGCTCCCCCCAGCCCCTCCCGCTGTCCTGTCCCTCCCTCCTGCCGCCCCCGCCCCGGCCCTGGCCTGATCCTGATGCTGGCGTTGCTGCTGCGAAGCTGCGAAAGCAGAGCGAGCCTTTTAAAGCCGGAGGAGAGAGCCCGGGGGGTGTGGGGGCCCAGAGGCAGCTGCATGGGGGAGACTCCTCAGGCAGTGCCGGGGGAGCGCCGAGGGGCGAGGTGGGGGCAGGAGGGGGGCATGGAGGCGGGACGGAGGCAGGGACAGAAGGTGCCAGTGGGCCGCTGCAGCAGCCTCCTCTACAGCACTTCATGCTGCTGCTGGGTCGCCTCGCTCACCACCTGTGGGAGAGAGGCACCGTGAGACGCCATTCCGTGCCACCCCAGAGCCCCGAGTCAGGGGACAGGCTCCGTGCTCGGTCCCCTGCCTCCCAACCACCCCCCAGTGCTGCCCTGTGCTCACCTCCCCATCGCGGGTTTCGATGGTTTTGATCATCACGGTTTTCTTGGTGTGCACCTCRGAGCCCCGCTGCTCTGGGCTGGTCTCTGCAGGGGGAGGACACGGGATGGGACCACAGGGACACGTGGCATGGGGACAGAGCAGTGGCACTGGAGCCACTGGGGAGCTTCAGCAGCCTTGGTTTAACCTCAGCTCAGGGTTAACACCCAAACAAATGCCCCCACAGCAGGGGCTCTGTGTGGCACCTGTGGGTCCCCAACCTGCCAGCCTGGCTACAGCTCCCCCAGAAAGGACATTTGCCCTCAAAGTGGGGAACTCAGACTTGTCCCAGGTCTCCCTCCTCATGGGGTGATGCTCACCTCGGAAATTGAGYGCAGAGGCAAAAGTCTGGTGCATGGGGATGCTGATCCTGTGGGGACACAGAGGGGAGAGCTTAGTGCCAGCCAGCCCTAGCCCTCAGGCATCTGCCCACAAACAAATGCTGACCCTGCTGTTCCCCCCAGCTGATCCTCCTTCCACTCACCGGCTCTCCTCGCCCTCCAGCAGCTTGCGGTATGTGGCGATCTCCACATCCAGGGCCATCTTGACRTTGAGCAGGTCCTGGTACTCACGCAGGTGCCGGGCCATCTCATCCTTCAGGTGCCGGATCTCCTCCTCCAGGCGGGCAATGGTGTCCTGGTACCCACCGGCCTCCCCCGCAAAGCGCTCCTCCATCTCCCGCATCTGGCGCATCAGCGAGTCGTTCTGGAGAGATGGGGATCCTCATTTGGGGGAGGCCAGAGGGGCCAGGGGTCACTGCGCTGGGAACTGCGATGCCAGGGGGTCCTGGGAGAGCCGTGGTCAGCCCTGGGCTGGGTGCAGCTGATGTGGAACCGTGATGGGCAAGATGGGCAACTGACATCCTCCCTTGCTGACAGGGGCAAGCTGGGCAACACCAGCACCCTGGTGCTCAGGCCTTCCCACAAAGCCATGCTACCCCAGTGAGAGGGCACAGAGAGCTGCAGAAGCACTAAATTGCTGCCTGGGGGTGGCACTGGTGGCTGCTGGCTGGCTCCTGTGACCATGACTGTGTCAGAATGGGACTGTTGTGCCCTGTTTATTTGCAACCGCCTTGCCAGCCTGCAACCAGACACCCTGAGCCTTGTGCCCGCCTGCCTGGAGCCTCCTAGGCTGGGTCACCTTTTACAATCTGTGCTTTGATTCCAAAACCACTTTGCAGGAGCCCAGGACGCTGCTGGGGGCAGCACCGCCCAAATGCAGGATACAAGACCTCCCACGGCAGCAACTCAGAGAGCTGGGAAGAGCCTTCCCACCCCAGAGATGTCCCTGAGCAGCCTTGGAGCGGCAGGTCCCTGCAGGGAAGCTGAGGATTTTCCCAATGCTGCCGTTAGCTCACCGTGCCCTTGAGGGCATCAATCTCGCAGGTGTAGGACTGGATCTGGTGCCGGTACTCCAGCATCTCCTGTTTCGCCTGCCTCAGAGCATCGTTGTTCTTGTTGGCTGCCTGTGTCAGGTCAGACACCTGAGGAGAGACTGTGGTCAGTGGGCATGGCCACCCAGATGGACCCAGGGCCAGCCTGGAGCCCGCTACCTCCCACACCTTGGACTTGTACCACTCCTCGGCCTCGGCGATGTTCTTGGCAGCAATGCTCTCGTACTGAGCACGGATGTCCCGCAGCGCAGCCGTCAAATCGGGCTTGGAGATGTCCATCTCCACCTGGATGTGCTGCTCCTGCAGCTGTGCCTGCAGTTCCCGGATTTCCTGCATGGACAAGGTGACATCTAGGACACCCACTCCATTTTTTCTGCCCCATGGGTGCCATTGGAAAAGGGGGTCACTTCTGACCTACCTCTTCGTGCACCTTCTTAAGGAAGGCGATCTCCTCCTGCAGGGACTCGATACGTCTTTCCAGGTCGATGCGTGCCAGTGTGGCCGCGTCCACATCCTGGGAGGAACACAGAATGAGGGAATAGCGGGCAGCTGCAGGGGGAGCACTAGGGCTGGAAGGTGCAAAGCTGTGTCCAGGACCATGCCCTGGTACAGGGGCCAGGCTGCTGGGGGCAGATGGGGATGTGAAGGAAGGTGGGGTTCCCACACCACACTAAGGGGACAGATACTCACAGCTCTGAATGCAGCGAGGTTGTTCTCAGCCTCCTCCTTCAGCTGGATCTCCTCTTGCAGCCTGTAGGTAGAGAAGGGAGGCTAGGGGGTCTGGAGCAACCTCCGTCCCTCTGTGGTGATGTCCCCCCGAGCTATCCTTAAGCCCAGCATGGCCGGGTGGGAAGTAAACAGATTGTCCTGTGTTCCCGGCAGGCAGCGGAGGACTGGCAGGGGGCCAGGGGCTCTTCCTCCCATTCCCTATTATAGTCAACGCCGGAGAGATCACAAAGACATGAGGTCAGCTCAGTGCCACGAGCAATGCCCCAGCCCTTATAGGGGAGAGTGACCARCAGCTGGGGGCACAGAGTGCAGGATCTGGCACAGGTGGTCCAAGAGATGACCACCAACTGAGCTATCCCAGGGACAGCAGGCAGACAGAGAGGTCTCAGCAATGCTGTGGGGTGGGGTGGGGTGTGAAGTGGGGACTGCTGCAAGGGAGGCTCAGGTCAGGGCTGGAGGTCCAGGCTTGTGCCAGGGAAGGGGACATTACCGCAGGCCACATGTCAGTGGAAAGGCAGCAGGGAGGAGATGGAGGTGCCCAGGTGGTGCTGGCACACAGGGTGGCAGAAACCCAACACCCGTTTGTTCCGGGCCCTGCTCYTCCCCTGTCCCTGGGAGCTCCTTCATGCCACCACCCCCAGCTCCCCAGCATCAGGGAGGGCCCCAGCGCTGGCTGGCTGTGGTGGTGGCTGGGGTCACACAAGGAAGCAGAGGGCTGTTATCCCCAGGGAATGATGTCTCCAGGGCATGGGATCCAGGAGGGAAGGTGCAGACCAGCATCAGAACATACAGCTTCCCTTGAGTATCTGCCCCTACTGCCAGGTTCCCCATGCTGGTCAGTCCCTGGAGGTTCCCCCAGCCTGGCCACGTTGTGGATAATTTCCACTCTCTTCCCCAGCACCAGCCAGGTCAGCAGCATCCCTGGGGTCTCCCACTGCTCACAGCGCACCATCTACACTCACAGCAGGCCTGGAGCATCCCTGCCCTGCGGAAATGCAGCCACTTCCTCCCCTCCCCTCTTCACATCCAGAGTTGATGGAGCACCCCCGGRGTTATCTGTCCCCTTGCTTCTGCCTGCCTGACTGCATCTGTCCATCTATCCCACAGAGCTCAGCTCAACCACGGGCCCCGGTGTGAGCAGATATGGGGACCCCGGGGTGAGGTGCACTTCCATCTCCCAGCTCTGTGGTGCTACAGCCTGGCCTCAGCCCCACTGCAAGGGAGGRCATAGGGGACACCCCTGCCACGGGAGCCACTCTACCCTCTGGGTGCTGCCTGGGCAACCAGAAAATGGTCAAGGGGGACAGAATGCTGGGGACATGATGGGCTCTGAGCATGAGGCACTAGGATAGCAGTAAGCACCTGAGGGGCTACCAGGGCGAGCTCTGCCACCACCCATCCCTGGGGATGGAGATGCAATGCACGTATGGATGCCCAAAGGGACTCTCCARGACCCCCCCACCCCACTCACTTCTGCTTGAGCTTCTGCAGGTCATCGAGCAGGTTGTCACGCTCAACCTCCACGCGAGCCCGCTGGTTGGTGAGTATTTCCACCTGGCGCCGGAGCTCCCGCAGCTCCTCCTCATACATCTCAGCCACGCGGGTGGGCTCTTTGCCCCGCAGGCGGTTCACCTCGGCCACCATGAGGGCATTCTGCTGCTCCAGGAAGCGCACCTTTTCGATGTAGTTGGCGAAACGGTCATTGAGCTCCTGCAGCTCTACCTTCTCGTTGGTGCGGGTCTGGAGGAACTCCTGGTTCATGGCATCGGCCAGGCTGAAGTCCAGCAGCTCTCCGGAACCCTGGTAGGCACTTTGGTAAGAGCGCAGGGGCGTCACGCGGGTGGTGCGGAAGGTGGACAGGCTGGGGACGGCGGAGGTGCGGGACACCTGGTAGACGCGGGAGGTGACGGAGCTGCCGCTGCTGCCCTTGCTCCCGAAGGAGGCCCGGGGGAAGACCGGGGAGCCGCCGAAGGTGCGGCGGTAGGAAGAGACCCGCTGGCTGGAGGAGTAGGACTGGCTCATGGTGGCGGCGTGGAGCGGCGAGGCCGGAGCAGGGAGCAGGCGGAGGGCTGGCGAGCGGCCGGCACAGCTCGGAGAGGCGTCGGGACGGGACAGCGCGCCGCTATTTGTATCCTGCTGACATCACCCGCCCCTCCTGCTGCCGGGCAGCTGCGGGATGCTGCTGCGGGGGAGATGGCCGGCAGCCCCCGCCCACTGCCCCTCACCTTCCCGCACTCCCCGCCAGACAAGGACCCCTGACACCCCCGGTGTCCCCTGGTGAGGCCTTGGCACCGGTCCCCGCTGCTCTGCTCCATCCCTGCGGGTTCGAGGAGAAGCAGTGGGGCAGGCTGGTGGTGAGCCCCCTGTCAGGGCACAGTGCCACCCACAGGGGGCCCGGACAGCCAGCCTAGGCTCATGCCATGGAGGGAAAAAAGGGAACTCAGACCTTCACAACATCACTTGACCCCCTTGAACCAAACCCCGTGCCTGGTAGCCGTGACCCCCAAATCGGTCTTGAGCACCCCAAACGGCCCCTGATGATGCCCTGACCCATCTCCTGGCAAGAGCACCAGTCTCCAGCTGGGCCAAACTCCAGCCCCCACCATCCAGAAAGTGAGCAAGGAAGGACCCTGGAGAGGGATTGGTGTGGGGGGGCCCCCTGTCCTGAGTGTGCTTGTACTGTACACCCAAACTCTCTGACATGGGGGGATGAGCCCTGACCAGGGTCTGGGTGCTTTTGGAGCGCTGCTGAGTGACCCCGAGCAGGTGCCGGGTCTGAGCCCCAGTGACAGTGACGTCAGCCCCTGTCCTCGCTCCGGCACATTCCCAAAGCAGCAGGCACTCAACCAAAATAGCCTTCCCAGCTCATACTCGTGGGGTGTGGGACATACATACGTGATATTTATAGTGGGGGAGGCACTCTGTTAACCCTTCTTGCTCCAGGCATGTGGAGAGCACAGCTGGATGGCGACCCTGCCTGGAGTAGCCCCAGCCCCTCTCTGGTCTCCGTCACCCAAAGAGCAGAATAAAGTCCCCAGGTTATTCCGAAACACTGCAGGCTCTGCCCGGTCTCTTCAATCTCCCCCTTGCCCAGGAAGTACATTGGGGATCAGAAAGCCCAGTCCAGCTCCCCAAAACCTCCTAGAACGGGGGATTTCCAAATCCTTCTGAAAGCCCCCACTACAGTTTCCTGGACAGGGAGTTGGCCTGGTCAGGGACCCCCAGGGCCACATAYAAACCCATGCCAGCTAAAAAGGACATCCTGAGGGAGGGCAGCTGTGCTGGGGGAACCCCTCATGAGGGTGCCCTCCTCCCCAGGCTACCCAGCACACCTGGTGACCCCCGACTCTRTCCAAGCTGGGCTGTTTTGGCTGACGTCAGCTGGCTCAGCCCCAGCGCCTCTGTCCCTGAAGGCCCTGGTGGAGGGGACCGCGGTGCCACCGGGCACAGGGTGACTCAGCAGCAGGAGCAGCACTCAGCCCTACCTGGCCCTGCACCTCCCAGCCTTCTGTGGTGGCTGTAACGCAGATGCCGAGCAATGGCATGGTTCACCCATGGCAGCATCAGGACAGCAAAGGCTTGGGCTTGGTCATGGAAGCATTCTCAACTGCTCAGGTTCAGGGAGGAACTCCTGCCTGCTCCCTGCCTGCTCCTTGTCACYTGGGGAGCCAGCTAAAGTCTGGGTCCCACAGACACACAGAGATGGGCAGACACACAATGCCCTGCATCCCTTCTGCCCCTCTAAGTCCCCCATCCCTGGAGCCTCTCCCAGCCACCCAGTTACAGAGTGATGTGGCGTCTTCCCAGAGGGTGCAAGCTGCCTGGAGGAGCCTGCCTTTAAAAGGGAAGGTATTTCCAGATGGGGTTGTTTCATCCCAGCACAGGGGGAGGATGGAAGAAAGGGGGGCTTGTAGGGAGAGTAGATGGAAAAACAGACAGCATCCTTCCTCCTTCTGGCCCCGTTCCGAGTATGCCCTGCACATCCCTGAGCGCCGCACGTGTGCCCGCCTGTGCCGCAAGTGCCAGCCCTTAGCTGGTGTGCAGAGGGGCAGATGGGGGCCCCRTGAGGGGGACTCTAGGGGTCAGGGACAGCATACCACCAGGAACAGAGTACAGCCATCCCTTCCCATGATCCCACCCCACTGCTGTGCCAGCTGGGCTTGTGGGGAGGAWGGACTCCTCAGGAATGCTGTGTCCAGAAGTGCCTGTGTTTCAGGTAGGTCAATCCCAAGACTGAGTAGCCCTTGTTCCCATCCTCATCCCACAGAGCAGGGGGGTGCAGGATTGGCGTGCTCCGGGGAGGGGAAATGCACTCTTGGGCACTGCTGTTTGCGGGGGAAGCAGCTCACRGGGGTTAACCAGGAGCATCCTCCTGACCCTGCTCTAGGGCAGACAGTTTGAAGTGGCCTTTCCTCAGCTGTCATGACAGCCTTCCGGGACAGCTCTGGGCAGACATGGGCCCCATGTTTTGCAGAGGGTGGACAAGCTTCTTAGGAAATCCCCTCCTGCTTGCAGGACCTAGCRTGACAGGAAGGAGGGATGAAGTGCAGGAACAGGAGACCCTGGGTGAGTCTGATCCCAGGGACAAGATGCAAAACACTCTGTGCCAGCTAAAGACCCAGAGGCTGCTGAAASTGAGGGGGCTGCAGAGGCACAGAGCTTCCTCTCCTGTGCAGCCCCATTCAGCCTCCTCACAGCTCCATCCCAGGCCAGGCTGACCCAGACCAGCGGAGCCTGGGAAGTGGCTCCTGAACCCCCGCTCTGGCCTGGTCCCAGCTTCCATCGAACCTTGGATGAGACTGCTGCCGGGAAGGCACTTGGAGCTGGAATGTCAAACAACTCCCTCTGGTCATGACATCCCTGTGAGCAAAGCCAGCTGCATCCTGCAGCTGCCCCTCCTTCCTGGCCCTCCCTCCCTGCTGCTCCCCCAGGATTTAAACCCAGCACAGCCTCCTTGTGCTGTGGGCATCTTGGGGCTTGAAGCTAGGCAGGATGCAGGGACAGGGTGCTGGGCCCTCCATGTCCCTATACCCTGCCACCAGGACCCCAGTGCCCCYTTATGCCTGGCCTTAGCTCAGGGGTGAGTGTAGGGATGGGAATGAAGCAGAGAGGGTGTCTGTCCCCCTCCCTCCTGCCCCTGGCTGTCTTCCTTCACCCCGCTCCTTTTACAGCCATGAGCCTCCCAGGCGTCTTTACCCTAAGAGGGAAGGACTTCGTGGCCCATTCCCCAGCGCTGACGGATCCAGGGCGCGTGCTATTGTCTAAATAGGAGGCGGCTCTTCTTCCCTGCCTGGACCAAGGCCCAGCCTGGCCTTGGGGTCCCAGGAGCTGGTGTGTGTCATAAAGTCTGCAGGCCCCCCACACCCACTATTCATCCCAGCTGCCCCCATGCCTTCACCCRCTCCAGAGCTCAGGACCAGGGCATGCACAGACTGTCTCTCTGCTCCTGGTCCCCACCCCCATGTCCTCTGGTGATGGGGATGCTGAGGATGTTGTCCTCTCTGTGAGTGGCACAAGAATGCTGGGGGTACCTGGATGCCCCATGGCAAATGCGGATACTGGAGGTATCCAGATGCAGCCTGCATAGCTGCTGGGAGGTGTTTGCTTGCCTCCCTTGGTGTTTGTATGCCCTCTGTGTGAGTTGTTGCCTCCGTGTTTCATGAGGATTCTGGAGGGGAGCTGTTGCCCCCAGGTTCATGTAGATGATGGGGGACACCAGCTACCCTTATGTACATGCAAGATGCTTGAAGCATAGTCCTGCYCCCATCGCTCACCTGCAGCTGGCCCTGTGATCCATGGGAATACTGGGGATGTTCCCCCATCCCCGCTGCCTAGGGGCATGCTGAAGGGTGTCCACCTGCCCTCATGGGGACATTCACCTGCCCCAGTGGTGTGGAGATACCAAGGATGCCCAACAGCCATTACGATCCATGTGGACACGGCGATGACTGAGCAGCTGCGTGGTCCATGAGGATGCTGCAGGCCTCGATAGCATCACCCATGCCAGTGAGATGAGGTAGCGTTACCCGCTGCATGGCTGATGGCTCACGTAAGGCATGGTGGCCATTCGCTCAGCCTCCAGCAATTCCTGGGCAGTGATTTCACTTTCCCATGCTCAGACACGTGGGCCGGGATGCGGGGGACCGCCTCGATGGATGCCATCCCTTTGCTCATTCTGGCAGGCCTGGCAAGGGGGGGTCCAGGCAGCCTGGCAGGCAGTGGGAGAAGGGGGTGGCACTTCCTGGAGCTCTGCTGTGTTTACAGTCTCTGTCCTGGGCCATCTTTCCATTAACCCTTTCCAGCAAGGAGGGCTAGGCACTACCTCCCTATCCTCAGAACCTACTGCCACCAAGGAACACCTCCTGGAGCAAAGCCTGCCCAGAACCCCATCTGGGCTGCCAGGGCACATGGGAAGGCCCACAGTGCCCTGTCTCTACAAGTCGTGMCTCTGCCAGGCACCCCTGGGCACACAAGCCCAGCAGCACGGTGCATACAGAGAGGAGGAGCTGGTGCCATTTTGGAAGGGCTGCCTGTGGCTCCCTGCTGCACTAGTTGGTCCGTGGGGCAGCACGGGATGGGGACAGAAGCAGTGTCTTCCCAGGAGCACACTGATGGGGTAGGGGGCAGCCATAGCAGGTGCTGTGCAGCTCTTGGCACCCAGCCAGGGGTGAGTCAGAGCCCACCCGGATATAGCCATTGGGAGCTTTTTCTGGAAGCCCTGCTGTGCTGGGAATAGCTGTGGCATGCCAAGGGACTGCCCTTTGCTCACACCGGCACGGCTAGACAACGGCCACACCCGGCCCTGCCACTCACTCCTGCTCTGACMCCCCCAAACCCTGGCCCTACCTGCTGCTGCACACACACCCCCCAGGAACCATCCACCCTGAGCACCCACAGRTACCCATCCCATGCTCTGGGCATCCACCAGCTGGGGAGCCATGGGCTCCAAATGTCCCCAGGTGTCCCTCAGGCACAGCCTGGGAAGCACCCAAGAGCACCTGACCCTGAGCTGGTTCAGGCAGCAGACAGGGGGTGATGCTGGCAGGAGGAGCGAGGGGATGCACGTCCCTTTGACACACTTACGCTAGCTCTAGGCTGAAGTGCCTCCCAGCCTGGTCCCAGCCAGGCAGGGCATGGCCCTGTGTTTTGCTGTGGTTGACATGGAGACCCTCCAGCTGTCTGTTTGTGGGGTGCCAGGCAGTGTGAGTGCTTGTTCCCATTTGGTGGTGGGGAGAGGCAGGTGCTGCGAGCTGGGAGAATAAATCCAGAGCTGTCAGGAGCTCTCAGCACGACAGGTCACAGGGTCAGAGGTAACAGGACCACCAGTTTCCAGTCCTCAGAACACAGACAGTGTCTCCAACTAACAGTGTGCCCACACGGGTGACTCAGGAGCTGGRAATCCAGCTGGCACCCAACACCTGGGCCCCATGCAGCACTCACAGGCTGCCACGTCCATCTCCTAAGGCCACACATTGCGAAGAAGAAAGGATCTGCTGGAAAATGATTCATGAGTACTGATTGAAACCCAAAACCTCACTGCTGCATCCAGCCTATGCAGGGACCCCAGCCAAGGGCAGGAGACACCCTAATCCATGCGAGGCCCAGGGGTCCTATCCCTTGGGAGTGCCCCTGGGGCTGACAGGCAGCTGGGGTGCCACTCTGCCACTGTGCCAGTTGTTAAAACCGAATGGATTGCCACCACTCAGAGACATTTGTCTCCAACATGGCACCAAGGGTTTGTGCCTTGTTTCCTGTGAGGGCCAAGCAGTGCCAAGGCAGGGGAGAAACAATGATGGGGGGCTGCAGCTTGACTGTGACCCACTCCAAYGATAACCAGCCTTTGGGAAGCGAGTGTGTTCCCCCATGCACCAGCGCCTCACTGCAAACAGGTCAAGCCCCGTTTTGGGACRCCCCCTACTCCCCAGGTTAGCCCCAGAAATGGGGCACAACAGGGCAGGATGGGTGAGCATCCTTGCGGAACCTGTCACTGCCCCTTATTTCCCACCCCAGCCCTTCCTGGCTGTGTCCCGCGTCCAGCCCACCCTTAACTCAGCTCTGCCCCAGCTTCGTCAGACACTGCGTTTGCCTGGTCTGGACCAGGGTGCGGGATGAGGGGTGCACGGTGTGGACTGCATGCTGTGAGGCGCAGGGTGAGGGTGCGATGTGCATGGTGGAGGGTATAGGGTGCAAGGTGCAGGGTGTGGCACGTGGAGTCGCAGGTCGTGGGGTGCAAGGCTGCACGTTGTGGATTGCAGGGTGTGGATTGCATGGTGCAGGGTGCATGGTGCAGGGTGCAGGGTGCGGATTGTGGGGTGTGGATTGCGGGGTGTGGATTGCGGGGTGTGGATTGCACGGTGCAGGGTGCATGGTGCAGGGTGCATGGTGCAGGGTGCAGGGTGCGCACTGAGGGGTGTGGATTGTGGGGTGTAGGGTTGGGTGCAGAACGCAGGGTGCGGAGTTCGGGGTTCAGGGTGCGGAGTTCGGGGCTCAGGGTTCAGGGTGCGGGGCACGCATTCCTCCAGGCCAGCAGGAGGCGCCGGGCGGGCTGGCGCGGGGCGGCGGCGGCCATGCAGGTACCGTGCGGGCGGCGGGCGCGGGACGGGGTCGGGTGGGTGCTGCCCGGGCAGGGGTTCCGCGGTCCCGCGGGGGTCCCGGCCCGGGCTGGGGTTTTGCCGGCGCTGTGCGGTGACGGCGRTGCCCGCAGGCGGCGGCGCAGGGCTCGAAGGCGGCGGCGCAGGCGGCAGCGCAGGAACTGGTGAAGTTCGTGAACCGCAGTCCCTCGCCGTACCACGGTGAGGATCCGCCCGGACCCCTCCCGGTCCCTCTTCCCCTTCCACGCGGGCGGCTCTGACGGCTCTTCCCCCCGCAGTGGTGGCCGAGTGCCGCAGCCGGCTACTGCAGGCCGGCTTCCAGGAGCTGAAGGAGACGGAGCACTGGGACGTGCGSCCGGCGCAGAAGGTGGGCCCGGCCGGGACGGGGCAGCGGGGATCGGGGGGTGGAAGGGGTCCCTCACCCCTCACCTCTACCCCTCTGYCCCCAGTACTTCATCACCAGGAACTACTCCACCCTCATCGCCTTCGCTGTCGGCGGCCAGTTCCAGCCCGGAAATGGGTTCAGTCTGCTGGGGGCCCACACCGACAGTCCCTGCCTCAGGGTAGGGTAACCCGGCTGGGTGCTACGTCCTTCTCTGGGGTGCTCCAGTTTCACGCCACAAAATCTACCCTGCCTACCCCTGTGCCTGCGGCACTATTGTTGGCTCCCTGCACCTCCCAGATCTGCCCCCCAGAGCAGCCCTTGCTGACCCCCTGCATTGCTCTGCCTGCTGCTGTCTGCTCTCTGTGCCCTGTCTTGCAAAACCCCTCACAGCATCCTGTGCTGGCAGCATCAGCGATGAGGCTCTGGGCATGTGCTGCCCAGTTCCCACCAGCTGCCCTGGTGCTTCATGGTGCCAGCAGTGACACCTCTGCTGTTGCCCAGGTGAAGCGTCGCTCTAAGCGGGGACAGGTGGGCATAGTGCAAGTCGGTGTGGAGACTTATGGAGGGGGCATCTGGAACACCTGGTTTGACCGTGACCTCACCGTGGCCGGGAGGGTGATCATAAAGGTGAGTGACTTAGGACATGCATGGTCGGCTATCTGTGTGTCTCTGGATCCCTGACTCCCACACAGAGTGGGACCTGCTACAACCTCTCAGCCCTGCAGGCCTGGCCCTGGAAGTTCTCCTTGTGTTTCAGGATGAAGCCACAGGGCGTCTGGAGCAGCGCCTGGTACGTGTGGAGCGGCCCATCCTCCGYATTCCTCACCTAGCCATCCATCTGCAGCGCAGCATCAATGAGAATTTTGGGCCCAACACCGAACACCACCTGTAAGACCTGGCTCAGCCCCTACCCCTGGTCTGCCCTTGGGAGGGCTGGGAGCCAGCTAGAGCAGAGCCAAGCTTTGGCTCTCCCTTTGGCAGATGCTCATTGCAGTGGGGAGGTTTGCAATGGCTTTTAGCCCCACAGAGTCCTTCCAAGAGATGCTTCCAAGTAGAGGATTTGGGAAAGGACACTGGCRTGTCCTGAGATTGAACAATACATTTGTCCTTGAAATGTGCATTCTTGTTCCATTCAGTATAGCAATCACTCCCTGGAGGAGCAAGGCAAACACCCCAGGAGGGGTTGACTGTGTGTGACCCAAGCAGGTGAGGTGAGCAAAGCTCTGGGAGCTAATGTTCCTGATCCCCACAGGGTTCCCATTCTGGCCACTGCTGTGCAGGAGGAGCTGGAAAAGGAGGTGCTTATGGAGTCCACACCTTGCAGTGCTGCAGCCCAGGTAAGCTGTATGCCAAGAATCAGCAGAGACACTTGCAAGGACCTTGGACTTGTCACGTTTGATTTTCAGTCCTCAGGAACCTGTCACCGGCTTCCCCTTCTCCCTGTGGACTGCTGGTAACCTTCCAGTCTGCCTTACAGCTGTGTACACAGCACATCTACTCAGCCATCTCTCTCTTCTCACCCTTGTCTGCAGCCAGTGTAGAAGGGGTGCATCTCCCTGAGGAGGCAGGGCAGGGAGCGGGGCAAGCACAGGGGCAGAAAGCTGTCCTAGGGGAGGTGGGGGCTTGAACATTGGGCATGTTAGTAGGAGAGAGGACTCTGCCAACACAAGTGGGGTCAGGGACAGCTTTGCAAGGCAGTTTCTCCACCCACTGCCTGTCCTGCCCAGAGCTCTGCTCTCTTCCCAGGCAGAGCGGCACAGCCCTGTCCTGCTTTCCCTGATCTGCCCCCAGCTGGGGATTAAACCGGAGCAGATTGTGGAGCTGGAACTATGCCTGGCAGATACACAGCCAGCGGTGAGTAAGGGCAGTAGCCTCCCTCTGTCTGCACACAGCCTACAGGCTGGCAATACATCGGTGTTACCTGGCACGCATTCTCTGCCTGGCAAATGTCAGGACTGGGAGCTGAAKGGAACAAGAGGAAGCTGCTCCTGAGGGGCAGAGATAAGGAATGGGGACCCAGTGGCAGGTACTTTTTGAGGACCCAGAGCCTATGCCCTCCTCCTCTTGGCTCTCTGCAGACGCTGGGTGGTGCCTTCGATGAGTTCATCTTCTCCCCACGTCTGGACAACCTGCACAGCTGCTACTGCGCCTTGCAGGTGAGAGGGAAAGGACCTGTAAGCTGCAGTGTGGCCCCCACACACCCCAGCTCAGCTTTGGGTTGGCCCAAGGCTTTGCAGGGAGTTGTGTTCCTGTGGGATGGGTYTTGGATTGTTGGAGGACCTGGGGTGGAAGGGAACCTGCCCCCTTTGCTGGGTGTGTGGGGTTCCCAGCAGCTTCCAGGGGTGGCTTCTKCTGTTGGTGGGCACAGCTCCCTTTCTCTATGCTTTGGACTCTCCTGGGGAATTTCCCAATGGCTCAGTCCTGAGATTCCCAGGATGGGGTGACACTCAGGCTGGTGTCCATTCCTCCCTACCCCACAGGCCTTGATTGACTCRTGTGCAACACCCTCGTCCCTCTCCCAGGAGCCTAACGTGCGTCTCATTGCGCTCTACGACAACGAGGAGGTGAGTGAGTGGCACAGCCATGGGGTGGCTGTCACTGGAAGAGGTTCCACGTTCTTTGCTCTCCCCCAGCCATGCTTAGCATGAGAGATCCCACACTGCAGTGGAGGAAGAAGGGGTTTGCATATAGCCACATGGAGCATGGCCCAGGCGGGGTGGGAAGCATTGTTGTGGTAGGAAGCTGCTTTGCTGGCTTTGGGGAGCCCCCTGTCACTCATCTGGTCCCTGTGGTGCTGGGGGGTCTAGCTGATGGTTGTCCTTGGCAGGTAGGGTCAGAGAGTGCACAGGGCGCGGARTCCTTGCTGACAGAGCTGGTGCTGCGCCGGATCTCAGCATCACCACACAACCTGACAGCCTTTGAGGAGGCAGTGGCCAAGTCCTACATGATCAGTGCTGATATGGCCCACGCTGTGCACCCCAATTACGTGTGAGTAGTCTGAGCAGTGCCACAGGCGAAGGCAGCCTGCCCTGCTGCCTGTGGGGATGTATCCCCATCACTCCCCAGCTAGTACAGACAGGACAGTCCTTGTTGAAGCAGGGAGGGAAGGTATAATGTGAAACCTTTGCTTCTCTTTGGCAGGGACAAGCATGAGGAGAACCATCGTCCAGYTTTCCACAAGGTGAGAGCTGCCCTCTGGTTTGAACGATTGCTGTCTGTCCTGCAGCACGCTGGATTGCCCAGCTGCTCCCAACTCATGAACAGTCAAATGGTTTATCCTGCAATGGGATTTGACCATGCCACATGTCTGATGTTAATCACTCAGGATCCTAGTCTTGTCCCTCGAGTCCTTCCCTGCTCTCAGCTGCGGCTCTCCCTGTGGGAAGGTTGTCCCCATCCCCATGGCTCACCCAGGGAGGGGAGAATGGTCTGGTGTGTTGGGATGATGCAGCATTGCCTCGGCATAGATGTTTCCAGGGCCACTGACTATCTCTGGGTCCCATTATGGGCCTACAGTGCCTTCCCTTGTGCAGGGCCCTGTCATCAAAGTGAACAGCAACCAGCGCTACGCCTCCACAGCTGTCACTGAAGCCGTAATCCGGGACATCGCCGCCCGCGTGGGTGTGCCTCTGCAGGTGAGCAGGGCTGGGGGAGCCCTCCTTGAACATTATGAGTTTGGGCCGCAGTCCTGCTAGTGGATTCATCGGAGGGGGCCTGTGTCAGAGCTCCCTGCCTGTTACCATGTCTGACCCCACTGGAGTCTGTGCACTGCCAGTTGCTCTGGGGCTCCAGCTCCAAGGCTGCCTCAAGGAGCAGGGTGGTCAGCAGGATGGGAGCCTGGCCTGAGTGTGTCCTGTCTCTGGCTTGGATCGGTGCCGCTTCCATGTCCCAGGTTTCCTYCCTTCAGGGTTGAACGCCCACATGGGAGGCCCTGGGGCAGCATGTGGAGCTGCTGAGGTTTTGCCCCCATGCAGGAGTTCATGGTGCGCAACGACACACCCTGTGGCACCACCATCGGCCCCATTCTGGCCTCCCGCCTGGGGCTGCGTGTGCTGGACATTGGCTGCCCGCAGCTGGCCATGCATTCCATCCGGGAGATGTGCTGCACCTCGGGGGTGCTCCAGAGCATCACCCTCTTCAAGGTGAGCCTTGTGGCCTCATCATGTGCTGAAGCCCTCTCCCTGCTGCCCTATATCTCCCACATCCCCATGTCCCCATGCAGTTCCTGTGTTGGGGCTCAGCCCAGCCATCCCAAGGAGCTCCACAACCCTCTAAAGCAGCTGCTTCCGGAGGTGCCCCATCTCATCCCAACCCTCCCTAGTGACTGCCATCCCTAAATAGTTCCTATGGCAACCAGTACTAGCCTTGAGTCAGTGATGGGTTACTATGGCGACGCRGTCCTGCTCTCTCTGAGTAGCTGCGTACTATGACGCTGTGACAGGGAACTGCTGCCTGCCCCCACTGCCTGTCCCCCCACCCTGCACCGCCTTGCTCAGCCCACCCTGACAGCCTTTCTTCTTCCAGGGCTTCTTCGAGCTCCTGCCGAAGGTCAGCAGCAGCCTGGTGGTCGATTGAGCATGGCGGGGAGGAAGTAGCAGTGGGTTCAGTCCTGGGGCCATTAAAGCATTTCTATCTGACTGGCGAGTGGTTTGTGACTCTGGCTGGGGTTGACGTACATGGCTCCCTTGGGGATTCCCATGGCTCCCACCTGTGCTCTCTCCTGGAACCGTGAGCAAAACCTATTCACCCATCCACAGTTCCTTTTTGAGGGGTACTGGGCGTCTCAGCTGGAGGCAGAACACGGCTTGGCTCCTGCCCGCGGAGAGCTGGCAGGAGGATGTCCCCTGTCTCCTGCAGCGCTGGGGCAGCCCTTTTTCCCAGCAATAAGCCTGCCAGGGATCTGCCGGTGCCAAGCCTGCAGCTGCCCGCTGGGGCCGGAGCGCGGGGTCCCTGCCGGKCCGAGGGGTGCCCTGTCCCCGGGCCGGTGCTCGGGCGGTGCCGCCGGGCGGGGTACGAGGGTGCGGCTCCGCGCTCGCCGCTCATTGGGCTGCGCTCAGGGGCGTGYCCCAGGCGGGAGCCAGTGCGGGCCCAGGGCAGGGCAGTGGCGGGCGCTGATTGGCGGGGCCGCTGCTGGCGCGTGGCACACCTCCGGGGGGGCGTGGCTCGCCCCCGGGGAGGCTGTGATTGGCGCGACGCTCGGCCGCCTCTCCCCGGAGCGCAGCGTGATTGGCCCCGCTGGACAGCGGGGGGCGTGAGCGTGGCGCTGGGGGCAGCCGCGCGGGTCTCTGATTGGCTCTGGCGCGGAGGGGCGTGGCGCAGCGGCCGCGCGCAGCGTTCCATTGGCGGGGCGGCGGCCGCTGCGCCACGCC